GGCAGAGAGAATAAAAAGAGAAGGGGAAATCTGGAAAAGAGAGAGAGAGAAATAAAGGAGTGGCCAGTCACCCAGCTACACAGCAAATCAAGGAGTAAGTAGTAAAGAGGGGTCTACAGAAATAGGGAAAAATAAAAGCCCAGAGGCAAAAGATAGATGGATTAGCCAATAAAGGGCTGGGGAAAGAAAAGACAGATGGAATAATTTAAGTTACAAAAAGCTGGCTAGAAATTAGCCTAGCTAAGGCTGGGCATTCATAAGTAAAATAAGCCTTTGTGTGTGATTTATTTGGGAGTTGGGTGGTGGGTCCCCCAAAGAGTAAACAACAACCATCTACAGGTGGTCTTAACAAGGTAGTCGTAGGTAGTTGTGAACCTTTTGAAGCAAAGGTAGGATTGTTAGATGGTTATAAACAACTTTTTGAAACAAAGACATGATTGCCATTCCTGGAATAGGCAATACAGAACCACTTTGTAGTTAAGGTTACAGGTGGAGCATAGCCCAATCCTTGAAAATACAGATGTTTAATCATAAACAGGAATGAACTTAGTTTGTCTTTACTCTAAGATGGCTTTTAAGCCTGTGATGGGGACAGGCTGGCTCTTCAATGGTTTCCAATTTATAAATACATGAGTTAACATTTCTTTAATCCATGTGCAGGACCCTTTAGCTAGTCTCAGACGTTCCGCAGCCAGCTAGGAAGGTGTAGACAGGGAATCTGCATCTGAGAATTCCACTTCTGACATAAAGAAACAAGGTCGCTTATATTAAAATAAGAATTCAAAGAGCTCTAGAAATTCCAGGTCACAAAATTACCCCATTATATAGTTTTTCTCCACTAGGAAAATGGACTGGGATGGACCATAATTAAGAGGTAGAGTGCCTGCCTACTCTTTCAGGTCCTGGGTCGACCCCCAAAAAAGAAAACAGCGAGAGTCTGTAAGATTCCAAGACTGTCTGTAACTTGACAGCTGCTGAGCTTGGAAACCGCCCGCCCACACGATTGCTGGCGTCAGAGCCACGGTGGTGACTGACAGCTCACCGCCAGCCGGTCCTCCCCAGCCTTGTTGGTCCCCGGGTCCACATTGCACAGAATCAGAAACAAAGAGAACAGGGGAAGAAAAGCAGTTGACCAGAAGCGGCCAGTCTGAAGCGAAAAAGCCAGCAAGGTCTTGCCTGGGGGGCGGGGTGGTCATAGTGACGCTGGTAGACGCTACAGGCCCCTCCTAGCAACCAATTCTGGTGGTCAGGCCAGGGATATCAGCTGTTGCTGGGCAGGCTAGAAGTGTCTTCTGCCCCCTCCCAGCAAGGGCCTGCAGTAAAGATATCCCGTTGAAAAGTTCCTGCCCCCCGATAAACCTCTCTGCCAACACAGCAATCCTGATCAGACCAAATCAAACCGAATCAGAAAAAGTCCAGGTTTAATGGATAAAACTCCCCCAGATGATTTTGCAGTTCCCCAGAGAGGAGACGGGAAAGAGAGACCGGAAAACCTTATGTCTGCTTTCCGGGGTGGGGGGCAGTTGAAAAACCTGTGGGAGTGGTCTTGAGCATCTCTGGGGGAGGGGTCATCGTTTGGGGGGCTTTCCGAGATGTGGCAGGTTTGGAGAGAGATGGAGAAGGGGACCTGGGGTGCAACTTCCACAAGCACTTTCCAGACTCTTTGGGTGTATGGACGCCAGGGGTTGGGTAAAGCTTCCACCAAAAAACTCAGAAATGGAGGCATGGGGAGGAGAGGGTAAAGATGCTGAAGGAAAAAGTTCTCTGCTGGCTCTCCTATCCAGAATGGTAAATTCTTTCCCGCAGTCTTTTCCCACGGTGACTGCAGCTCCAATAAAGAAATTCCTCTTTTGTTCTTTTGGTTTTGTTGTTTTTCTTTTGTTTAGAGACAGGGTTTGTCTGTGTATCTCTGGCTGTCCTGAGACTCGCTTTGTAGACCAGGCTGAAGGAATTCTTTACATTGAAAAAGACATAATAAAATGTACTTTCGATATTCCATCCGCACCCCTCCCCCATCTGCCGATCCGGTTAGAGGCGGCTTCCACAGGACAGCTATTGATACCCTAAAACCAGTACTCCACCCCTCCCAGTTTAGAATTGAAAGCAAGCTAGTGCTTGGCTCCTCTGACTCACTAAATGCTAAAGTGATTTCCTCTTTAAAACATAAAAATGTGATAAGTTTTCATAATAATATTATTACAATAACAGAAGACACATAAGAAATTTCTTTTTTGTTTTCATTCGTTTTATTTGGGGTTTCCATGTTGTTGCCTAGGCTGTCCTTGATTTCACTGTACTTTGTAGCCAAGTAGCAGCCTGTCTATAGCAAGTGCTGACATTATAGTATATACCACCTTACCTACCCCCCTGAGAACACTTGAAACGTAACATTTTAATCGTTAGTAGATGTGGTGCTTTGAATAGATTGGCCTCCATAGGCTCATACATTGGAATGCTTGGTTGCTAGGGAAAGGCCCTAATTGATAAGAATTAGGAGATGTAGCCTTGTTGGAGGAAGTATGTCACTGGGGGTGGGCTTTGGGGTTTCAAGTTCAAGCCAGGCCCAGTGTCTCCTCCTCTCCACATGGATCCAGATGTAGAACTTTCTGCTACCATGTTACCATGCTGATCATGGGCGAAACCTCTGAACCTGTAAGCAAGCCCCATTTAAATGCTTTCTTTTATAAGAGCTGTTAACAGATTGAAGACCTTAGAACTGGACTCCTCCTCCATAATAAACATCTTATAAAGCCAATGACTGGGAACTTCAGGACTCTAATTACTGGACAGCGGCATGGTACCTGAGTTATTTCTGTCCCTGGGAGGAGACTGAGCATCCTAAACTGCTCAGGGGGTCACTAATGGATATGTCTCTTACCCTGCTTCTGGGAGCCCTAAACCCTATAAGATTATTATATTTAATTAATTAAGCCCAGTATATATCATGCTGTTAAATGGTTGTTTAACTAAATACATTCTTTGTTTCAGCCTAGTAGATTAATTTTTAATGGAAGCACCTAAACATTGTGGAATGCCTAGTTAGATATGTATGAAATGTTTACACAATAAGATACTGTGCATTTGTGTAAAATAACAAGGTTATTATTTGGGTGTTGATAAGGAAAGATCTCCAAGATAAATTTTAGAAAAATCGGAAATGCAAATAAAAATAACTTTGAGATTTTATCTCACCACACTCAAAATGGTTGTCATCAAAAACAAAAATAGCAACAAATGATATTTTTATAAAAAAGAGACATGCACACATAATAATAATAATAGCAATAGTAATAATAAGCAACAACCACAACCCAACCTAATTCCATGTTTGAAAAAGAAAATAGGCCATGCCTGGCATGATGGCACAGGCCTATAACCCTAGCATTTGGAAGACTAAGGCAGGAGGATCTTGGGTTACAAGCCAGGTAAGACCCTATTTCAAAACAATAGAACAAAAAGGTCGTATCTTCATTACAGATATCATTTTCAGCTGTGAACTATGCTGAGGCTGGGCACATGTCTGCATGCAGGACCTGTTCCTGCAGCCCATGTGAACTGACAATTGCTGGTTCTCTCTCTCATCAGTGCTGCCTTACTGGGCACAAACGACTATCAGCTCTTATTGTACACTTTGCAACTTTCTCAAATATAATCTTTGAGAGCTGGGCACAACGGCTCACACCTCTGCAATCCCAGCACGATAAAAGCAGAGACAGGAAGGTCCCTGAAAATTTGAGGCTAACCTGGGCTACATAGCAAGTTCCAGGTGAGCCTGTGCTACAGAGTAAGACCCTATCTCAAAAGGAAACAAACAAAAACAAATCTTCAACAAGAAAAAGTCACAGGCATCCTTTCCTGATCAGAAGGTGGCTAAACTCAAGCGAACTGTCCCACGTCTAAGAATAAAGGTGAGAGTTTGGACTTGCCACAGGACAGAGCATGTTTGGAACAGAGAAGAGAATGGTGGTGCCAGGGAGATGACTCGGGTAAGGCATTTGCCATGCAAGAATGAGGACTGGTGTTCAGATCCTTAGCACCACCATTTAAAACCCTGGGCAGATATGAGGGTCCACCTATAATCCCAGCTCAGATGGATTCAGTGAGAGACTGAAAATAAAGATTCCTCAGTAAATAAAATGGAGAATGATTGAGGAAAACATCTGATGTCAACCTCTGGCCCCCACACGTATGCACACACGTTTGAACAAACCAAAAAGATACATTCATATCACACTTACAAACATATGCAAAAGAGAAGAAGAGGTGGGGCATGGTGGCACACACTTCTAACACCAGCACTCAAGACAAAGAGGCAGGTGGATCTTTGTGAGTTCAAGTCCAGCCTGGTCTACTTGTCAAGTTCCGGGGCAGTCAACCAGAAGGAGACCTTGTCTCAGAATGGGGATTGGGGAAAAGGAAGAGGAAGAGGAGACTAGGCAAGGTGTGGTGGTTACAAATCTTAACATCTTAGTAGGAAGGATATAAAGACAGGAGGATCAGTAGTTAAAGGTCACCCTGTGCTATATTAGTTTATGACCAGGCTGGTATACATGATATGCCACCCACACAAAGACAATAAACACCACAAGTCAAGACTGAATGTGTTGTTGTTGTTGTTGTTGTTTTTATTTTTAAAAGCCGTCAGTGGTCACTCTCCCTCAGATAGTTCTTGGTAGCAAGAGGAATGAAACAAGCCTTACAGACTCTACAGATCCCACGACTGCATCCAGGGAGGGGAAAAGGGAAACGGCCCAGTACCAGTCAGCCGCTGCTCCAATGCTGTGAGGGGGGAGAGGAGGCAAACCCTGGTCATCAGTGGATCTGTAGTCCTTTTGTGCAAGTGTCTGGCAGGGGTGACGTGGGGCCACTCCTCTGGGCACAGCTGTGGCAATGCCTGGATGGAGGTAGGGCCTGGGAGGATCTAGGGCCGACATGCAGCCTGGGGGCCTCAGCCTGGCCTGACCCTACTTCCAGGGACTCCGTCCCCAGTAAGCACAACGATGGCCAGTTTGTGGAGCTTTTCTCTGTCTAGCTGCCTCCTCTCCCTGCTCCTCCTCCTCCAGCTGTCCTCCAGCTATGCAGGTAAGCACGCTAATCCTAGACCTACATAGACCTAAGAACAGGAAGGAGATGGTCTGGGCTTACCTGATCATCCTCAAATGTCTGTATGAATTTCTTGTCTATGCTTGGATCTGCTGGCATGGTTTCCCTCCTTAGAAACCTTCCGGACTTCTTGTGGAATCAAATTCGGGGCCTGTGTATGCTAAATTTCACCCCATTTATATGGCGCTGGGAATCAAACTTGGGGCTTTCAGTTCCCTTAAGTTCATGTTTTACTACTGAACTCTATCCCTAGTCCTAGTGTTGGGTTTTCACCTTTCAAAGGAGAAAAAAAAAACTAAATTCTTGGAGTTCCTGTCAGAGTTTTAAATGACAGAAAGTCTTCTGCACATTACTGCAATGCCTGCTTGTGGGAAAACTCAGTAACTCTTTGCTGGGAATTAGTGAGGCAGTAAAGGTCCTTGCCTCTAAGTTCAACAACCTGAATGATAAAATACAATAGCACAAATAAAATAAAGTTAAATTTTTTTTAATATTTGAGTTATAGCATCTCATTAAGTTTGAGATCTTGCTCTGCAGAATCAGGCAGCAATAAATTTTTATACAGGATCCTGTTCCCCAACTAGGAGGAGAAATAAAAGAAACAGAAGACAGAGTCCTATCTCAGCGAGCCATGTGATGGGTGGAGGCCTAGGCCATGCACCCCCTAAAGACACCCTGATATAAGGAAGAACCCAGTAGCTGAACCTCCCTGGGAAGACATTCAGAGAGGGGTCCAGAACTGGCGTGAGCCTGAAGGTACAGATGATAAAGAAGGGCGAAGCAATTGTCCCCAAGGTGCACGACTTCGCAATGGGTAGGGAACAAGGTGTGAGGACGGGAAGGGAAGAAACAGAGTCGAAGAGTCAGAGATGAACACAGCTGGTAGAAAAGCAGAAGCCATTGAACAGATGATTTCATGTTAGGACATTCTATCCTAGACATTCAGAACATGTCTTTAACTTGAGACTGCTTACTTTGTATATGTTCAAAGTTTAAAAATAAGGCCGGCTGAAGCTCTTGTATTCCATTTAAAACTCCTCAACCTGACATCACGGTCCCTGCAATCACAGCATTCAGGGATCAGAAATTCAAGTCACCCTGAGCTACAGAGAACACTAAGGCCTGCTTGGGCTACAAGGACCATGACTCAAAAATAGGGAAGAGGCACTGAAGAGATGGCTCAGAAGTTAAGCATGCTTGCTACTTTTGCAGAGGATCCAGGTTGGGTTCTCAGCACCAATATCTATGGGGAAGCTCATAACTACTACCTGTAACCCCAGTTCCAGAGGACCTTATCGCCTCTTCTGGATTCCAAGAGTAGTCACACAAAGGTGACATACATTCACCTGCACTGGCACAGATACAAAATCTTTGAAAGAAAAATTGAGTGTCCTAAGCCAAGCATGGTAGCACATGCTCATAATTCCAGCACTTGAAAAGTTGCCACAGGAGGATTGCCGGGAGTTCAAGGCCAGCCTGAGCAAGACCCTGTCTCAAAATTGATACATAAGGACTGGAAAGGATGGCTCTGTAGTAAAACGTATGTACTTCTCTTACAAAAGACTGGATTTTGTTACCAGCACCCACATTCATGGGGTGACTCACAATACCCTGTAACTACAGATCCAGGGGACCAAATGCCTCTGTCCTCTGAGGGCACCTGCACTCATGTGAATGCTGATGTAGACACAGACACAGACACACACACACACACAATAAATCATTGGGTGTGGTGGTGTACAACTTTGATCCCAGCACGTGGGAGGCAGAGGCAGGCAGATCTCTGAGTTCCAGGTAAGTCAAAGCTACATACATTTCAAGACGCTGTCTCAAGCATAAGTAAAATAAAAATTAAAAATTGAGTTTCCTCTCTCTTACTCTTTTTTGAAGTAGCTTTTCTATGATGAACTTACCACATCTGACTCTTGGTTTCTTTGGTGTCTTGGACAGGACAGTTCAGAGTGATAGGACCGGCGCATCCCATCCGGGCTTTGGTTGGGGACGAAGCAGAACTGCCGTGCCGCATATCTCCCGGGAAGAATGCCACGGGCATGGAGGTGGGGTGGTACCGCCCTCCGTTCTCTAGAGTGGTTCACCTCTACCGAAACGGCAAAGACCAAGACGCAGAGCAGGCACCTGAATATAGGGGACGCACAGAACTTCTGAAAGATAACATCAGCGAGGGAAAGGTTACCCTCAGGATCCAGAAGGTGAGGTTTTCGGACGAGGGAGGCTTCACCTGCTTCTTCAGAGACCACTCTTACCAAGAGGAGGCAGCAATGGAGTTGAAAGTGGAAGGTGAGTCTGCCGAGGTAATATGCAGCGTGACCTGTTGAGTAGTTGGCTTCCCCTTTATCTTCAGTCATTCACTAAGATCTCTCCATCCAAACATGTCACTTCTGAGATCGGTTCCAGTAAACAGGGACTCCTATGCTGTGGCTGTCGGCTATTTTGTTATTTGAATTGGGAAAGAAACTGGGATCAAAGTCAGTGTGTTCATGGGTTAAGAAATCGACATTAGATAAAAGATGATATCTAAGCTAGACAAATGCCTTTGTACTTCAGTTTTTTGTTTGGTTTTGTTTTATTTTGTTTTTTGCTTGCTTGCTTTTTTTGTTTTCCTTTAATGATGGCTTTTCAGTATGTAGCCTTGGCTGACCTGGAACTCATTATATAGACCAGATTGGCCTCAAACTCACAGTGATTCTCCCTTCTCTGCCTCCTAAGTGTTAAGAGCTGGGACTAAAGGCATGTGCCACCACAGCTAGCTTTGATATATATAACTTGGGCAGTCCTCCAGTCACAGCCTCTGGTGTGCTGGGACTAAAAGATGAGTCACCATGCTCGGCTTGAAGTGATTGTTTTAGAACCATACCAGATAGCTTGAGTGCTTCCCATGAGAACTTGTTGAGTGGCATAAGCCATAGAATATAGGGAACAAAAGCATGGACCCGTGTTTGAGTGTGTATTTACATACATGTATGCACACACATACATATATACTCAATATATGTGTATGTGTATATATGTGTGTGCATTATACGGCAGAAATAGTGTGTGTGTGTATGTGTATGTGTGTGTGAGAATATATGACAGGGATAATTCATTTAGTAGGGAGCATGCCTACAATATAAGCAGACACTGGTTTAACCCCCAGCATTGCATAAACTGGTTTTAGGACCTGAATCCTGTAATTCCAACACTTAGAAGTTAAAGTCAGGAAGATGAGAAGTCAAACACCAGTCTAGGTTATAGAAGACTGTCTCAAACAAAACAAAACAAAAAAGAGGCTGGAGAAGCCAGGCAGTGGTGGCGCATGCCTTTAATCCCAGCACTCGCAAGGCAAGGCAGAGGCAGGCGGATTTCTGTGAGTTCAAGGCCAGCGTGGTCTAGAAGAGCTAGTTCCAGGACAGGAACCAAAAGCTACGGTGAAACCTTGTCTCGAAAATAAAAAAATAAAAAAATAAAAAAAAAAAAAAACAGAGGCTGGAGAGATGGCTCAGTGGTTAAGAGCTTTCGCTGTTCTTGCAGAGGACCAGAGTTTGGTTCCCAGTACCCACATAACTCCAGCTCTGGGAGATAGGAGACCTTCTGGCCTCCAAAGGCACCTACACATACATACACACATTAATAAAAATAAAATAAAAATTAAACACACACATGGGTGTATGTAATTTTCACATAATTGCTTATTTTCATGACTCTATTTTCAGTCTGCTTTGTGTGGTAGCTGATTTTGGAGTTACTTATTTATCCTGCCTTAGAGTGGCTAAACTGTGGATAGGGAAATAGAGCTTTGAAAGTTGATTGCTATGTAGCTGAAGAACAAGAGTATTCTGAGTGCTGAACCTCTGATCCTTTCCCTTCCTCCTCACCACCTGCGGCATGAATATCAGACAATCCATCATTTTTGTGTCTGAGGTGGGGGTGAGTGTTGCCAGGCTGAGACCAGAAGATGCATTGTACGCCCAGTAACAAAGCGCTATTTCTGGAGACAGCTTGCAGGGACATGAAAATAGCTGTGTGCCGCGGAATGTTCTTCAGACAGTTGTTTTTGCTGGGAAATTTTTACTCACAAAGAAGTGGGGAGTCGGAACTTGGGCATACAGATTTTCCCTCATCCTGCTCAACAAATTCCCAGTTCAGCTGCCAACTCCAGCACACTCACTGGGGCCCAGCACAGAGAAAGATGGAGAGGGGCAGAACACACGGAACACTTTGTCTCAAGAGAGAACGCTTTTCTTGGAGGGGTTTCCACATTCCAAATCCCTCCAGGGAGAGAGGAAGGACTGGAGTTCCATTCACAACAATGAATAAAATTTGGGAGGCATAGCACAGGCCTGCAATTCCTGCATTTGGGAGCTAGAGGCTGGAGAGCAAGGAGATGGAGACATCAAGAACGGATTTACCCTGTTTTAAAAGCAAAACAAAATCAATGCCCACGTTATCCCCTCTCTAGAGACAAGCCTGCTGTACCATCAAAAATAAGGCCAACCTTGTTTTTCCATTGTTACCCTCTTTTTGTTTGTTTGTTTTTGTTTTGAGACAGGTCTTGCATGTTGGCCTCCTTCCTCAGGCTCCTGAATGCTGAATTACAGGCTTGTGAAACCATGCCTGGTTGTGTCAGCATTTTATGTAGTTGGACTTTTTCATCAAGAACTGCTGGCTCCCCGATAATGACCTAGAAACATATTATTAATTATGAAAGCTCAGCCGGTAGCTTAGGCTTATTACTAACTAACTCTTACAACTTAGATTAACCCATTTTTATCAAACTATTTTCTGGCTGTGGCTCTATTACCTTTACTCTGTACTTTCCTTGCTGTTTTTTCTCCATCCGACTTATGCTTCTACCCTTCTTCTTTCCAGTGTCCTCTGTGCCTGGAAATCCTGCCTAGCTGTTGGCCATTTATCTTTTTATTAAACCAATCTGAGTGACAAGTCTTCACAGTATACAGAAAGATTAGTCTACATTTTCCACTTTTTGTCTAAATAAAAAGGAAATGTTTTAACTCTAACATAGTAAAACTATATACAATAAGAACAATTATCAAGTTTTATCTAAATAGAAAGATCTTATTGTGTATACTTTTGTATTAGGCTTAAAGCTCTCTTATTTAAACAAAAAAAGGGAGGTGCTGTAGGAAATCCTACAGCCTGCAACCCTTAAGTTACCTGCCCCCTGGGGCATGGCCTCTTATACTGTTTATGCTGATATAAAGCATGTGTCCAGCCTCTTTTCTGGCTGCAGGATTCGGTTGTTGTTCTCTGTTACAGCAGAGGAAATTGATTTGTGAGTCTACCCCTAAATAAATAACCCTCTATTATTCTCAGTTCTGAGCTAGTGTGGGATTTCTTTTAAGCGTCCATCTTCAAAAAGGTATTAACTTTAACAAGTGAAACAATAAAAACAATTATCAAGTAAGACTTACATTACAATATCTAGTCCATTTATATTTGTTAATTTAGAGAAAATACTCATTTATCTTTTCTTAATGAGTTCAAAGTTTTTTACCTAATTTACTTTTTTAAAAAATGTTTTTATGGTTTATTTAACTTTGTTTTATGTGCATTGGTGTGAAGGTGTCAGATCCCCTGCAATCTTTAGACAGTTGTGAGCTGCCATGTGGGTTCTGGGAATTGAACTGGAAGAGCAGTCAGTGCTCTTAACCACAGAGTCATCTCTCCAGCCCCCTAATTTACTTTCTGTCATAACTAAGGCAAACTATAACTATCTGATCTTCAATTCCATCAAAGACCCCAGAAGGATATACTATTACCTGAGTAAACAGGAAGTGCAGAGCAAACCACTTGCAAAACTAAGAAATGACAGAGATATTTGGCTTCCTGGGCAGCCACTCTGCAATGTTGGGGCATCCATCTTCAGCCTGCAGGCCTAGAATATCTGGTGGGTTTTTTTTCTATGAAGCAAGAATTTTGGAGGACTATCTCACCTTCTTTGGGCAAAGTTTAGCAGTCACTTTCCTGCAGACTTTTCTATGAAGCAGGAATTTTGAAGGACTTTACCTTGTTTTGGCAAAGTTCAGCAGTCTTTCCCTTTGTGTCCTGATTGTCCAGCTTGCACAGCATACTGTAAGCAGTCAAGACAAGGGAAGTTTCTTGTCCAAATGTCTAGTTTTACCACATTGAAAGCAAACTCTATATGGAGTTCCTTCAATAACCATCATCTTCTCTGAAGATGCTGGCAGGAACAGACATGTCTCATTGTCATGAAAAGCCCTATGCTAATAAAACATTTTAAATGCCATATTCTGTAGGTCTTTGAAGTGTTTGAAGACCATCTATCTATTAAAATATATCTGTTTGACCCTGAAAACATATCTAATATGACTACAAATTTGATTATTATAGGTGACTACTAACCTGTATTTCTTTATTATAGTTTGTAACAATAACGTCCAAGGATAAGAAACTGACATTACATTGTTAAATGAGCTTTATAGGTACAATAACTTAAACAAAGGTAGAAATGTATATATAGTATGCTCTTACAAAAGTTACTTTAAATTTGTATTGATATATAAAAATACCTTAGACAAGCATAGAAACATATACACAGTATAACAAAATAACATCAAATTTGTATCAATATACAAAAATCCTTACCAATGTAAAATATTTATGACTAGTAGTTGCTTTTTTAACAACTTGTGACAAACTCCTCTAAGCAATGATAAACATCCACAAACCAACAAATGGCCAAAAACCATCCACCCCAACTCTTGGGAATGTGGGTGTTGGGTTCTCTAGACTGCTTCTTGTTGTCTGGGGGCACTGGAATCTTTGAGGGGACCACAAGAAAATTAGGATAATGGTCAAGTCCTGACTAGAATAGTCTGTGAGCAGCCAGCAGCCGTGAAGCTGGTTTGGATACAGAACTCTGAGGAAACTGAAATAGAGACACTCTGAGAGGCTGGTTACTTGGGTCTTCTGTTTTCACTGGTGTCTGGTCCCTTGCTCTGAAAACACATAAACTTTAAAAGGTGATATACATATCTAAATCAACACAAGTATGGACTGTGCGTTGTACACAAGCCAGTTAAAGATGATTTTTTTGTTTTATGCTTGAGCAGGTAAAAGGCATCTGTCAACTATAAGTCCATTAGGAAAAAAATCTAACTTTAATAACTTTAATATAAACCTCTATCCATGCTGTATGAAAGGATGGCATGTAATAAGTCATGAGGCTCTTGTAGCCAACAAGATTTAGCATGTCTCATCTCATCTCAGAGCTGTTCCCATGTGAAGAGATTAGTTTACTTGTTACCTCTTCTGTAGTCTTTTTGTCTCCCCTTCCCCCATATCTGTAGCCAAGATTCTCAGGAGGTCTTCCCTGGTCAAATCTGATCTCTGTTAATCTGAAAGTAATCCACAGCCTTTTGTTTCTTGTGGAAACAAAAGCATAACCTCTCCCCCAACACAAGAAAAGCAACTGTCAAACTTTGCCAAGACATTGTAGGACAGTACTTCAAAAATTTCTGCTTCACAAAACATCTGTCCAATATTCTAGTCCTCTAGGCTGAAGATGGATGCTCTTGAGTGGCTGTCCAGACAGTCGCAAGAAACTGCTTCTCTTGTTTCTTTTAGTTTTGGAAGTTTCTTCCTCTGCACTTCCTATTTAACTCAGGAAATATTATATCCTTCTGGGGTCTTTGATGGAGTTAAAGACTAGATAGTCACAGTTACAGTTTTCCTTAGTTATGAGAGAAGGTAAATTAGGTCAGAGCTTTGGACTCAACAACATAGAATAAATAATGGAGTATTTTCTCCAAATATGCCAAATACAAATGTACTGGACATTGTAAATGTAATTCTTACCTGATAATTGCTCTTATTGTTTATAGTTTTATTATGTTAGTATTAAAACCTTTCCTTTTATTTATTCAAATAGGGGTAATTGTGATATAATCTTTTTGTACCCTGTAAAGACTTGTCACTCAGATTAGTTTAATAAAAAGGTGAATGGCCAATAACTAAGCAGGATTTTCAGGACAGCGAGGACACTGCGGGGAAGAAGGGCAGAAATGTGGAGAGTCATGAGACAGAGACAGAGGAGACAGGAAAGTAGCGTGAGCAGTGCAGAGCGAAGGTAATAAAGCCACAAGGCAGAAAGTAAATTAATAAAAAATAGATTAAGTTATAAGAGCTAGTTAGAAACAAGCCTAACCTATCAACCAAGCTTTCATAGTTAATAAGTCTCCGTGTTGTGATTTGAGAGCCGGGCAGAGGGACAGAAAAATCCACCTACAATTTCGTTAATCTTAAGGTTGATTCCCTTATTCAACCCACATTACTGCAGCACAGTCTCTGAATAGGGTGCTGGGGAAGCAAGCTGGGTGATGCTCTTTCTGCCTTTCAGATCCCTTCTACTGGATCAACCCTGGGGTCCTGGTGCTGATCGCACTTCTGCCAGCCCTCCTCCTGCAGGTCTCCGTGGGTGTCGTCTTCCTCTTTCTGCAGCACAGACTCAGGGGTAAGGGCAGCCGTTGGGTCTGTCGGGATCCCTGGCCTTCAGGGATAGGTCATCTTTAAGGCTCCTGAGTTCAGAACTACATAACAAGTTTTACTGAACCCTTTCAAAGAGGACCTTGCATTTCCCTGGGAAATAAGACTGTCTCTTACATTAAACTGTGGACACAAGTTCCGCTGTTGATGAAGTTTTCATTTGTGTCCAGAAACTCCAGGTAGAGTCCTCTTAGACTGTGTCCTTCCCAGTACCACAGCATAAGGTCTCATGTTCCCATCTCCTCCTGCTATTAAGAGTATATGGCTGCAAAGTGGGTTTGGGCCACGAGGAGAGAGGTATCAGATCAACAACGGTCCTGCACGACGATAGACAAGTGCTCCACACTGTACTGTGTCCTCAACCCCATGAGAAGGAGACTGGTACCAGATCAACAATGGTCCTGCACTATAGACAAATTCTCCTCACTGTACTGTGTCCCCAACCCCACAGTGAGATCTTTTTAAAACCATCTCAAATGTTTGGTCACTTGTTCCTTGGCAAGGAAAAGGTCCTCTGCCATCATGGCTGAGTAGAACAGGAAGACGGAACTAGGCAGCCTAGGATTCAACTCTATTGTAGAGACCAAACTGTGAGGAAAACTCTTAGGTTCTTCAAGTCTCCGAGTAGGGATAGTGTTTTCCCTCTTTAACTGTGGGATGCTTACAGGAGGATAACATCATGGAAAGCACCTGCGGTAGATGCAGTCATAAAGTAGTACCTCACTAAATGCCTAGTTTTTCATTTAAGTGGGGTTTGGCTTTATATTTACAAGTAATCTACTTGGCCATGTGAACTGAGCAAGGAGTAATAGAAGAAGTAACAAAGCCTTATGATACAGAGCTAGAAAGACAGCTCAGGGGCTGAAAGTCTGTGCTGTTCTTACAGAGGACTCAAGTTCCATCCCCAGCACTCTATGTCAGGCAGCTCAGAACTACTCATAACTTTAGGAGATCTGACCTTTTCTGGATTCCAGGGACGCACATACTTATGTGCATGCTAGTGTGCGTGCACACACACACACACACACACACACACACACACCTCAAAGAGAGAGAGAATTTAAAATAAAATTAGAAAAAAAATTATGTGGTTTGAGTATTGCTGGCTCCTGAGAATTAGTCCTGAAGACTTCTGCATTCTTAAAAGCTTTTCTGGAGGTTCTAGCTATGAAGTGCAGTTGTTTGTATACCGTTAACCAAAGAATAGCGGGCCCTGTTCTTCTAGAAGATCATTCTCTCTGACCAAACAAGCGGTTTTGGGGAGGAACACATATGGGGCTGTAAGAAAAGAAGGGAACACTCACCTCGCCAGCTGGATCAGCAAAATCGGCTGTGGCGATCACTGGGGTGACAGGCAGCAGAGCCAGACTGCCCTCACATCCGGGCTCCTCTTCTCTTTTTGTCGTTTAATTCAGACAACACCCAAAGGAAGAGCCCGAATACTTGGTTTTAAATCGTGAGCTCTTCCCACTCCCCAAAGACTCCCCCAAGCTATCAAGGAGTTGTCCGCACAGAGGTCCAAGGTGCTCGGTGCAGAAGGGTCCTCACACAGTAGCAGACCAGGAACTAAAACATTGCCTTTTTCTGTTCTAGGAAAACTTCGAGCAGAAGTTGGTGAGTTCCAGGCACCCTCCCTCCCCAATTCCTCCTGTCTAGTCTTTTAGTTTAACCAAAATGCCCCTTTCTTCAGAACATTTATTTCTGCCTCACCACCAGGGCTCTGTGCTCCCTCCAGTTGGGAACATCAATATTTGAAACTATAAGCAGCTGAGAATTAGAAATCCTATTGGTTCACCTGAGTTCAGTCAGTGCAGACATAAAATCCCAAACTTGCTTTATGTTTTACTTTTTATTTTATGAACCAGCTTTAAGTGATTGAAATAGATCCAGGGCAAGGATCCCCTCTCTGTGCCCATCTGAATCCACTTTCATCTGTTTCTCTTTCAGAGAACCTCCATCGGACTTTTGGTAAGTTCAGACATCTCCCAGCCTCCCAGGGCACTGTGGGATTTCACTTGCAGCCTGGGGAACTAGGACCAGTTGCTCTTTGTGGGGTCACTCCACCTCTTCTCTTTACATTTAAAACCTACAGTAATACAGCAAAAACTTATGTTCCACATTCTAGTGTGAGGTACTACACTAAATTCCACAAATGTAAACCTTTTTTTTTTTTTTTTTTGGATTTTCAAGACAGGGTTTCTCTGCAGCTTTTTGCTTCCTGTCCTGGAACTAGCTCTTGTAGACCAGGCTGGCCTCGAACTCACAGAGATCTGCCTGCCTCTGCCTCCCTAGTGCTGGGATTAAAGGCGTGCGCCACCACCGCCCGGCAAATGTAAATTTCTTATACACATTTTTTTTCCATCCTGTGAATTATAAAAGGTAGGCAAACAGATCCTTTTCACATAAACTTGATTGCCTAGTGGAAAAAAAAATCTACTTGGACAAGACAGAATGACTGGAGGTAAAGGTATGGCTCAGTGGTTGAGAGCACCTGCTGCTCCTCTAGAGTACTAAGATCTATTTCCTGACCCACAGCAGACATCTGTACATACAATACATACATACATAAATTAGAAAAAAACTGTGAAACATGGTGTCACTATGCAACCCTGGCTAACCTGAAATTCACTGTGTCGATCAGGTTGGCCTTGAACTCATGGAGATCTACCTGCCTCTGCCTCCCCCCAGTACAGGGTTAAAGACATGTGCTGTCATACCCAGAAAATTATATTTTTAAGTCATCTACTATACTTAAATGGCATAATTAGTTTTCACGAGTACAACCCGAGCACGTGGCTTCTCTGAGGAAAAAGTAAAGCCACACTAGTACCTTCCCTTTTCTGAGTAAGGATCCCATATGGCTCAGGTTGGCCTCAAACTCTCTACGTCATGAAGGATGACCTTGGGTTTCTGATCCCTCTGCCTTCACCTCCCAAGTGCTGGTACGTGCACATGCAACCATGCATGCACCAGCTAGAGTATTAACCCCTCAATAATCATCTTTGCATTTTCTTTACTTCAGATTGCACAGTCCCTAAGGACAGCGTCAACAAAAGAATACCCAAATATTTGTTGAATAAATTCCATACATATTAGAAAAAAGAATTAAGCCGAACAATCTTCCTGAGCAGCCTTTCTTTCTGAAGCCAAGACTGACCCTGTTCAGTTCTCCTGGTACCTGGCATTGGGCTAGTGTGTGAATGTCACATGTGTAGTCTTTGATCACCCAAAGAGAAATGAAAATATTTTTAGTGGGGGGAGTGTGAGCAAGTGCTCACACGGAGGTCAGAGGGCAATCTGTAGGGCTTGGTTCTTTCTTCCTTCATGCTGGTTCTGGGGATCAAACTCAGGTCTGCAGGCTCAGCAGTAAGTGCCTTTACCAACTAAGCCATTCTTGTAAATGGATACGGTGCTTTCATTTCCCCAGCTGCCCAGGCCTGAATAATCACACAGAAATTGTATTAAAAACACCCTATCCCCAAAAAAGCAAACAAACTCGCTAGGGATGGGAGTGAAAGAGAAGTTAGTGAGTAGCCGAATATGAACAATGTATGAAAGCATCATGCAACCCATTGTTTTGTATGTTAAATAAAATCAGCTGAAAAAGAAAAGCTGAGTTCAATTAGAGGTTAATGAAATTAAAGGCACATCATCCAAATTCAGGAACTATAGTTTGTCCCCAGAGTTCTTTGGTGCTTGGGGGGTTCAGGTTAAAAAGAGTGGGTGTGGCACAGAGGGAAAGAAACTCTGTTTTTCTCTACCATTCAGATCCTCACTTCCTGAGGGTGCCCTGCTGGAAGGTAACACTGTTTGTTATTGTACCTGTTCTTGGACCCCTGGTTGCCTTGATCATCTGCTACAACTGGCTGCACCGAAGACTAGCAGGTGCCGTATCTGGGCAGCACAGGACCACAGTGCAGCAGGAACTCAGGCAGACCAGAACGGGGAAAAGTGGAATCAAGGTCCTACATTCCAGGGCTGGGATTGCCTTCCTCCTGTGTCCCCATGCTCACATCAGAATTCTCAGAAAAAAACTGAGAATCAATGAGATGCATGGGTCCCTTAGTGGAAAGGGAGGGTCATCCAGTGAGGAGATGAGGTGTGTTGGGGGAATCTCCCACTGATCACCCACCTACTCATTTCTCTTTGTTTGCAGGACAGTTTCTCGAAGAGCTAAGTAAGTTCTCCCCAACACCCCTCCCCATTCTTGAGACCAGTCTCAGTATGCGCCTCTGAAACTCACTGTGTAGACCAGCCTGATCTGGAACTTATGGCAATCCTCTTGCCCGTCTCCAAGTTCTAGGATCATAGGCATGTGCTACCATTCCCAACCTTTCTCCATTCTCCTAAACTGAACCAAAAAAAGCCAGAGTAGGGAAGATGGTTACTGAGGAATCATAATCCCAGGAAGGACTGGAAGGACTCCTCCTTGAAGGAAGCGGGAAGGGAACCCCTTGGCCAGAATCCCACTTCTGCATTCTCCTCTGGCATTTTCCATAATGGTTATCCTGAGCCTCACTTCAAACAAGGGAGGTGGGAGAGGCAGGGATAACATGACCCCTGAGGACTGTCTGTCACCTAGGTTCAATGACATCATGAAAGAAATCACTGGCAGATTTTTTTTTAACTTACTTGTCTTTCTTCTAGGAAACCCCTTTTGAGTGATGGTGCCACTTCCTGGAATGAAGGGGAGCCTGGCAGTCCAAGGGACAGGTTGTTGGGGAACGTCTCTCATTAGCCTCTGGTCTACAGGCACCTTCCAATCTACATCTACAGAAACACCCTGGATTCCAAATAGAATTTGATTTCCCTTCTTCAACTATTTTCCTTTCCTCAGCTCCTTCCTTCCTCTAATTTTTGCCTCCCACATCTTTTTGCCCTTGTCTCAGTCTTCCTGCAGGAAGCACCCCACAGCTGAGGGCAGGCAGTCAGTCAGAAGACACCTGTGTGTCAGAGTGATGCAGGAACGATTCTGTCAAACAGGATACCCAGCACCTCTACATTACAAACTACAGAACACCAGCTGAACAAACGGTGGATGTTTCTCCCAAGACTGCAGCCTTGTCTGGGAAGAGCAGCAATGTAGATAGTGGGGGGGGGGGCAGGGACAGAAGAACTCACAATAAGAGAGACAGAGTACGAATATGGAGCCTGAACTCACACCCACAGATGGGATCTAAAGAACTCTGAGAAGAACACCGTCCTGCTTGGGCAGCCTGTGGAAAGGAGGACCTTGGGAAGCAAGGGTTGAGAATGGGGAGCCCTGTCTTTTCCCTTCGGCTTCCCTTAGCGTCCTTTATACTCCCTGCCTCTATTTTTTCCCATCTTCATTCCTCTCAGAACATGCACTGTTTATTCAGCAATTACTACTTGATGGTCTACCAGACACAAACAAGCTAGGTGCTAATGAATAATACAAGTTTACTGTGCACACTTCTTTTCCTTTCCTTGTTGACTCTTTTGTCACCCACTCAACTCTCCTATGCAAACCTCCTGAGCCAGAGGCCAGTCTTCAGAAAATCCGAAATGCAAAGACTAAGATGACTCTCTTAGTTTTAAAAATTGTATTTATTTTGTGAGGTGGGGAGATTCGTGGGGAGGGCATGGGTGAGGTCAGGAGTTCAGGGTGAGTGGCAAGTGCCTTTGCCCACTAAGCCGGCTCACCAGCCCAAACAGGCCTTTTATTTATGTTTCAGGAATTCTCACTGCAAGCATAATTCATCTTGTCTTCCTAGATTTCATTTTTTTTCCCAAGGACTCCTTTACTTTTAAAATATTTTCTAGCTTCAAGAGTGTTAGAGTCCGAGAGAAGCCCCAAGGAAAGACCAGCCACGTATACAAAACAAGAGCACTTTATTAATTCTAATGTTGGGTGCCACCTGGTGACCCCCAGATAAGATTAAAAAGCTCCTTTTAAATGGAGTTAGGGGAATTCCAGAGAGGAGGGATTAATTGGGGGCTGAATGGTTGGAGGTTCTAGTGGTTAGGGACCTTCAGGCAGCAGGCTAGGGAAAGCTATCTTTAATTATCAGGAGACTGGGGACACCTGTTGAGCCAGCAAAGGGGCTTTGAGGCCTGCTGAGTTAGCAGAAGGCTGTGAGCACCTGCTGATTGGTGGTTTTCCTGAAAGAAAGAAAAAAAAAAAAACCTGCCTATTTAGCTCTGTCGCACTGGGGAACCAAAAACTAAAGCCTAGTCTCTGTCAGGCTACTAAGAGAGCCCGGTCTGGACCCCTACCTCAGCTGTCTCAAAGGGATCATCAAGAAAGCCAAGTAAATGACCAAGGAATTCCCAGCACTTACTGGGTCTGCCTGATTCTTTATATCACCAGTGATGGAGCAGGCTTTCCTTTTCCCTAAAGCAGACGTCGCAGACAGGGCAACAGTAGATATCCTGCTTCCTGTGGGTGTTCTCTTGGGAATCTACCACCACGGATGAGTAGGAGGGCTCTCCGCCACCGAGGTATTGGTCAGGCTCATTTGTGAAGTGGAGCTTGCGGTAAGTTAAGAAGCAGGTCCTCTTGGTAAAACGTATCGAACAAAAGAGGCAATGAAGGTTACTTGAGCATCTTACTGGAATAGAGCTGGATCTGACATTCATGGATGAGGCCCTGCTGCAGCTTGCCTTAGCCCTGACCACTGGTCCCTGGATCACTTTCACATGCCTGAGGTTGGGACCCTGGGATCCAGGTGTTGTAAGTGGAACCTTCTTCACCTCATGCTCCTGGTTGCCAGTCACTGGCTTCCTGTTTTCGTGTACCTTCATGTGGCGTTTGACCTCAGACTGATCCCGGAAGCGTTTTCCACACACAGAGCATGAACTGGGCCTATAACCTAAATGAGTGCGTCGGTGCCGGCTCAGTCCAGAAGGATCTCGTTAGATCTTGTTACAGAGCTGGCAAGAGAAAGTCCTCTCTTTACGATGCTGAGGCTTGGAGCCCACGGCTTTGTGGCTAGTAGTCTTCTGGGCCTTAAACTGGTGATTAAAGAGGTTGATGTACTTTTTGTAACATCTGCCACAGGTCAGGCAGAAATAGAGTGGTCCACCTTTGAACATCCCTGTACAAGCAAGAGAGCCCTTCTCTTTATCATTGTTCTCTTCATCTTCCAGATTTGAGCTAGGTTCCTGAGATTTCCTCTTCTTGTTTCCTGTGGTGGAGAAGGGAAAATACACAGTTTGCCACTGACAATGTTACCAACACAAGGTTTTCACTCAGTAGGAGTCACTTTCCATTTCCCCAACCTTTAAACTCAACCATTCATCCTTGGATCTTATAGGATAGAAATAGGGAAAACCAATAAAAAGAATAATGAAAGCTAGTAAAAATTTCATAGGTATCTTCTATGATCTCAAATATCTAAATACTAGCTTACATCTTGGAAATCTATCCTCTCAAGCTCAATATTGCTCATATTCTCACAGGTGAAAGACCACATAGTAAGCAGTGATCTCTCCTCATTCCTGACTTCACATGTGTCTGTCACAGTCCCCAAATAGTAAAGGTTGAATTCCCTTCTGTAAGACCACATTCACATAACTTTCTAACATAGATTATAATTATCCAATTTTGATAGTATTCTAGTTTAATGTATAACTGTGTCTAATATAAAAAAAATCAGAACTCGGGGGCTAGGGATGTAACTCAGCAGCAGTAGGGCACTTGCCTGGTTTACACAAAGCCCTGGGTTCAATCCCCAGCTCCGTAAAAACAAAAAAACACATAAATTGGGCCCAGAGCTAATTGTGGCTGTAGCTTTGGAAACCACTGAAACAAAATCCCTTCAGAACAGAGAGCTCACCCCAGTGTTGGGAAGGCAAACCATGCAAGCAAGTGCTCTCTCTCCCA